GAGGTGTAGATGTCTGTGATGGTGGGGAGACTGACTCCAACAGATTTATCAACAGCTATAGGATAGCATAGGAACTATTAGTTCCTATGCTATTATATCATAGGATAATATAATAGCATAGGATAATATAATATCATAGGAACTAATAGTTCCTATAGTTCCTATAATTATATTATCCTATAATATAATAGCATAAGAACTAATAGTTCCTATGCTATTATATTATCCTATGATATAATAGCATAGGAACTATTAGTTCCTATGCTATTATATTGTCATATAATATATCCTATATTATTCTGATGCATGCTCAATAATCCAGGTAGAAAAATCTAAAAAAGTTAAGTCAGGTCCTCTGGTCCTGAGGACCTGACTTAACTTTTTTTTAGATCCTATATTATTAATTAGTCAGAAAGAAACAAGCCATAACCAAACAGAACAGAACTCAGTAAACAAGCCAACTACACAACAATGTGGGCTTTCTAACAGCTTTGTTAATAAAGGTTAATAAAGGTTGATTGAATATACTTCATTAGAATCAGACTTTTTAAAGAGTAATCTTTCATTGTTCAGTTCAAACTTTCCAAGTTTTTGTCACTAGATATTTCACCCAGTAAATGTTTTGGAAATTCTAACCATTTAACTTTTACTTAATACTCTTACTTTAAGTACATTTTATAAGATACATTTTTATTTTGATACTTAAGTACATTAAACGTCCGATACTTTAAGACTTTTACTTAAGGAATAATTTTAAAGTAGACTTTAACTTTTACCAAAGTAATTTTATGGTAAGATACTTGTACTTTCACTGAAGTATCACTTTGAGGTACTTTATACAACACTGGTGGTTTGCTAATCGGATGGTGGTGGCCTGGGATGGTATCAAATTTCCCGGCCTGGATTATTGTCCCAGTCCGCCCCTGGTTGCCATAGTTACCCTTAGACGGAGGCGAGACTGCTCACGTGACCTAGCAAGATGGCGATGTAGAATGGGACGTGAGCGTGAGTACTTCGTATCTTTAGCTTGCGCGGTTGAATGACCAAACCGGTGCGTAACTTCACGTTATTCTCTCGGCGAATTCTCACTGTTTTTGTAAAAATATTTAAAAAAAAAAGGGACGCGCTTCGTTCAATTAAGATGCGCTTAGCTCAGTTTTAGCTTCGCTGGGTTCCTGCTAACTGATCGAACCAGCTAACGTTAGCTGTGATAGTCTGATCATGAGTTATTGTTTCTGGGCTCGAAACATTCAGGCGACTCTTATGCTAACTGTGTTTTCTTTGTGCCAGGAGTTAAAATCAGGCGGGTCCAGTTCGGTGGAAGGAAATTTGGATCTGCTGATTAATTGTTCATCATATCTGGTGATCGAGATGGCTCTAAATGTCTTTGGTGAGCAGCATCACACAATCAGATGATGACAAACTACAGTTAGTGTTCATGTTTTTGTGTAGATTGTGGAATGTTAAAGGTCCTAATATTATTCTGATCGTAAATCAGAAGCCTGGAGGCAACAGCTGCAGAAAAAATACTAGCATTTATTGAAGGAATGCATATTACCCCCCATTTTTCATGTCAGAGTTTCAGCTAAATTGTACAATAATCTTAAAAACAGACATGGGCAATATATGGCCCGAGGGCCAAAAGTGGCCCTTGGACAATCTCTATCCGGCCCGGAATATTTTTGATTGAAAAGAAAACAACTTTTCAACAAGTTGATGAAAACCTGCATTCAGTGAAACGTAAATCTAAATCAAACATCTTGGACAATTAAATAAAAAACTTTTGGATTAAGAAAAGCCAAAACCTTTTTCCTGAAGTCATTGTGTTCCCAGATCTGGACTGAACCTTAAAGACTCCAAAAAGCAACTGCATTAGTCCCTCGCTACTTCGCGGTTCGTTTATCGCAGTTTTTCAAAATAAAAATGGACGTGACACGCAAGCACGATCGGCATGGAATTTTTATTCAATATCAATTGTTTAAAATTATTTAGCACCTGCTGCGTATTTGTGCAGCCCAAAGCTGCAGGAAAATGCTTCCTCCTTCAGCTTTGGGCTGCCCACACTGCAGGATAAACTTCCTGCTGCAGCTGTTGAGCGCAGAGTGGAGAGGTGGGCGTGGCCAAAAAGAGCGCTTGCAGGTGGCTGAGAGCATCGGAGGAAGAGAGCTGAAATCATGACATTCTGTGCTCTTTTAGAGCTTTAGAGTTTAGAAACATTGTTTAGAATATTGCAAGAGTGTGGGAAGGGTTTAAAACACCTTTATATATATATATATATATATATATATATATATATATATATATATATATATATATATATATACATACATACACTAAGTGTTTCCCCTAGTTAACTTGTCATGGCGGGGTGCTCATCTCATCCATGATTTTTGTTGACCGGGGGGGGGGGGGGGGGAAGACAAAGACTTGTCTGAGCGCAGCTTGTACCAACAGTTTTTGAGTGGGTTCAGCATGAGGGAAGAGGCGCCTTTAGCTTTTTAGCTAGGGCGTTTGTATTCCGCGCTGCTAGCTTAGCGTGACACGTTTGAGCTGTGCGCTGTTTATACAGACAGTTTTTGAACGTGTGTGTGTGTGTGTGTGTAGGGTGTTCAGCTTGAGAGACGAGGCAACGTGAGCGCTGCTTTTAGCTTTTTAGCTAGAGAGTCTGTATTTCACACCGCTAGCTTAGTGCTATGTCAGTGCCGGGTGGGGGTGGGTAAGTTCATTTTGGTAGGTGGGGTGCTCAGTTCTGTTGACGGGGTGGGGCACCCCGCTTGTATAATGGTGTAGGAAACACTGATATATATATGTATACACATTTTGCCAAAAGTTTTCGCTCACCTGCCTTGACTCACATATGAGCTTAAGTGACATCCCATTTCTAATCCATAGGGTTCAATATGACGTTGGTCCACCCTTTGCAGCTAGACCAGCTTCAGCTCTTCTGGGAAGGCTGTCCACAAGGTTTAGGAGTGTGTTTATGGGGATTTTTGACCATTCTTTCAGAAGCGCATTTGTGAGGTCACATACTGAAGTTGGGACGAGAAGGCCTGGCTCTCAGTCTCCGCTCTAATTCATCCCAAAGGTGTTCTGTCGGGTTAAGGTCAGGACTCTGTGCAGGCCAGTCAAGTTCATCCACACCAGACTCTGCCATCCATGTCTTTATGGACCTTGCTTTGTGCACTGGTGCATGTTGGAAGAGGAAGGGGCCAGCTCCAAACTGTTCCCACAAAGTTGGGAGCACGGAATTGTCCAAAATGTCTGAAGTAGTCAGAGTTCCTTTCACTTGAACTAAGGGGCCAAGTCCAGCTCCTGAAAAACAACCCCACACCTTAATCCCCCCTCCGCCAAACTTTACACTTGGCACAATGCAGTCGGACAAGTACCGTTCTCCTGGCAACCGCCAAACCCAGACTCGTCCATCAGATTGCCAGATGGAGAAGTGTGATTCGTCATTCCAGAGAACGCGCCTCCACTGCTCTACAGTCCAGAGGCGCCGTGCTTTACACCACTGCATCCGACGCTTTGCATTGCACTTGCTGATGTATGGCTTGGATGCAGCTGCTCGACCATGGAAACCCATTCCATGAAGCTCTCTGCGCACTGTTCCTACTTTGTGGTTTTTCACTTATCGTGGGGCTTCAGGGTACGGATCCACCGCGATAAACGAGGAACTACTGTATATGTTTAGTTTTTTTACATATTTAAGCTAACACACATACTGTCTCGAGCCAGTTTACAAAGAATATGTCTTATATTCCTAGAGTATCGAGGAGACATATTTTTATTAAATGTGCTAACTTCGCTACAACAAGATAAAGCCTGAAATAAGTGTTCCAGATTATCTTAAATAACATCTAGTTACTATTTCTCTATACAGCCCTTCAATTGCTTTAAATATCTTGATTTGGACCTCTGGCATAAAATGTTGCCCAGTCCTGCTTTAAGAGGTATGGCTTTTTTGGTCAAACTGTAAATGATGTCCGTCCATAGGTTCATGAGGTATTTTGCCAATACCAAAGTTTTACGCAGAAATATTCCGCATTATACAGTACTCAGAGTATGTGTTGGTGATGGTGCTCCCCTACTACCACACCAAAATTTAGCTGAGTATCTGCAAAATGGACAAATATTTTATATTGGTTGACATGATTCAGCAGTGATGGACATTTTGGATGTTTAAGACTCCAAAAAGTTAATTGTAGATGCACACCTGATGATTATGTACTTCCTGAGAGTTTCACTACAATCTGTCCAGCGGTTCATGAGGACTAGGGATGCACATTATTGGATGTTTGTCCGATATCCGTTATGCTGATATGTTAAAACTTATTTGGTCGATAACCAATACCGATGTTTTATATACTTTCCTTTGTCAGTGTGGGATCCTCTGCACTCTTGTGCATGAAGGACAGTCTTTTTAAGTTCAAAGTTTTTGTCTATCCATTGTGCCGTAAGACTAATCATGTTAACGGTGCTAACATGACGTCCAAATGTCTGTGGTCAAACTCACCCATGTACTATCTGCTTTTAGCTTCTCAATGACGTCGGAAATGACGGCTTTTAACTCGGGTAAGGTTACGTTGGAAAAATATCTCCAACTGGGGACGATGTAGCGAGGCTCAACATAGTCCATAAACCTTCGGAATTCGACATCCTCACCAACGACAAAAAACTTCCACACCGCCGACATTTAGAATTTTCCTCTTCGCCGTGAGACCAGGTAGGCGCGCGTGACGTCATCACGTTGTGCTGGCGCTGCAGGCATCCTTGTCTCACTGGGTTGTCATACAGAAACAGCGCCTTTTATATCTGTGAGTTATTTTGATGTCCGATATTGAACTTTAACGCTAATATCAGCCGATACCGATACCATGCCGATAATATCGTGCATCCCTAATGAGAACTATGAGCAAAACCGTTCTCGCATTTGTCTTTGATGGTGGACTATAACATGTGCATACTCCATGACTAAATAAACTGCTTTTCTTAGTTTCTTAGTAAATATACATATGATGTCTCAGAAAAAGTACATACAAGACAAGTGCTTTTAAGGTTCAAGGTTCTTTATGTCATTCGCATCACATGTGATAGCACATGTGACGTTTAACAACCTGTTAACTCATCTTCACGTATCTCCTATAAAAAGTCCATTTTCTACACATGGTCTTTGTTTTGGTCCAAGATCAGAAATGTTACATCCACAGAGAAGTTCATGAGTTCCTCGGGATTTAGGACACACTGAAAGTCAACAATGTGCATGTTATGTCTGTCCTCTTGTTGGTTTGTCTAACTGTGCTGCCTTCAGACACTCGCCCGGGGAGGATTGGGAGTTATTTTGAAGACAGGATACGGAGACGACGAGTGTTGAATAGATAAGGGTCGTGGAATGAACTCTGAGTACGCCAAGACAGGAAGCCCTGCTGTTGGTTTTACACATGCAGAGGAGATGGAACAATTTGCTGTTTGCTGACCAAAGAATAGACGTAGGATACATATTTATTTCCGCTGTACAACTTTATTATTGGTTGTCTTTTCAAGAGCCTGGAGTGTTTGCCTATTTGGGAATTGGAAAAAGCAATTATGACAACTTACAGCAAATAAATAAACCAGAATCTTACAGGATTTGTGGGAAAAAAAAACCTCTAAGTATAGACTAAATTTGGTCTACGTTTAAAAAAATCTCCTGGTTTGTATTAGGTGTTAAAGTACATCTAATTATTCAGATTTAGGCTCTTACAGATCAGCAGCAAGAAGATACCTTTGGCCTTTTTTGGTTTATGGATTTTATTAAAACGTCACAAATTGTTACACTTTCTCCACTTGGTGGCTCTGTGAGTAAAGAAATGTGTGTGAGCAGCTTTTCTTTCTCTGTCCTCAGATCATGACGAGTACAGGCCACCGGTGTGGAAATCATACTGTGAGTATTGTTGTAAACACCTTTACTGTGTGAATGATTATGAAGCATTCAGTTCAATTTGGTTTAGTTTATTTATATAACACCAAGTCACAACAGAATCAGGGCACTGAAAATTCACACTATTGTGATCCATTTTTCTTCCGTACGTTTTTCGGTGCGATTCCCGTTCCGCAGTTTTCAAACTGGAGAGGAGGGTCCGTCGGATAGTCGAACCTCGGATTCAGGAGGAGCAGTGCGGTTTTCGTCCTGGTCGTGGAACACTGGACCAGCTCTACACCCTCAGCAGGGTCCTGGAGGGTGCGTGGGAGTTTGCCCAACCAGTCTACATGTGCTTTGTGCACTTGGAGAAGGCGTTCGACCACGTCCCTCGGGGAGCCCTGTGGGGGGTACTCCGGGAGTATGGGGTACCAGGCCCTTTGATACGGGCTGTTAGGTCCCTGTACGACCGGTGTCAGAGCTTGGTCTCCATTCCCGGCAGTAAGTTGGGCTCGTTTCCAGAGAGAGTTGGACTCCGCCAAGGTTATCCTTTGTCACCGATTCTGTTCATAATTTTTATGGACAGAATTTCTAGGTGCAGCCAAGGTGTTGAGGGGATTCGTTTTGGTGGCCTTAGGATCGCTTCTGTTTTTTGCAGATGATGTGGTCTTATTGGCTTCATCAGATCGTGATCTACAGCTTTTGCTTGAGTGGTTCGCAGCCAAGTGTGACGCGGCCGGCATGAGGATCAGTTCCTCCAAATCCGAGGCCATGGTCTTGAGCCAGAAAAGGGTAGAGTGCCCTCTCCGGGTCGGGGAGGAGGTCCTGCCCCAAGTGGAGGAGTTCAAGTATCTTGGGGTCTTGTTCATGAATGAGGCAAAAATGGAGCGAGAGATCGATAGGCGGATAGGTGCAGCGTCGGCAGTGAAGCGGGTGCTGTACCGGTCTGTTCTGGTGAAGAGAGAGCTGAGTCAAAACACGAAGCTCTCAATTTACCTATCGATCTACGTTCCTACCCTCGTCTATGGTCACGAGCTTTGGGTTGTGACTGAAAGAACGAGATTTCGGATACAAGCGGCCAAAATGAGTTTTCTCCGCAGGGTGTCTGGGCTCTCCCTTAGAGATAGGGTGAGAAGCTCGATCATCTGGGAGGGACTCAGAGTAGAGCCACTGTTTCTCTACATTGAGAGGAGCCATTTGAGGTGGCTCAGGCATCTGTTTAGGATGCCTCCTGGATGCCCCTGGTGAGGTGTTCCGGACACGTCTCACCAGGAGGAGACCCAGAGGAAGACCCAGGACACGCTGGAGGGACTATGTTTCTCGGCTGGCCTGGGAATGCCTTGGGATTCCTCCGGAGGAGCTGGACCAAGTGGCTCGGGAGAGAGAAGTCTGGGCCTCCCTACTTAAGCTGCTACCCCTGCGACTAGACTCCGGATAAGCCGAAGAAAATGGATGGATGATTATGAAGCATCCAGTTTAGTTTACTTATATAGCGCCAAGTCACAACAGAATCAGGGCACTGAACATTCACACTATTGTGATCCATTTTTCTTCCGTACGTTTTTCGGTGCAATTCCCGTCCCGCAGTTTTCAAACTATTTCAACAAATCTTAAATCAAAACATTCGGCTCTTTCAGGACAATTCTGCTGTGACTTTTGGTATTGGTTCAACTTTAGCTTTTTAAAATATTTAGCCTTTTCTGCCACTTTTTTCTCTCATAGAAAATGAATTTAGCTGTTTTTACATCCTTCATATCTTTAGATGTGTTTACAACCTTTTACTGCTCCTTTCACATTTTGTTCTGCTTCAGCTTCTTTCAGCTTCCTTGTGCAAATTTAAACTTTTTTCCAGCTACTTTCAGCTCATTTCAGCTGTTTTTGCGCTCCTTTCAGATCCTTTCTGTTAACTAGAACATTTTTGTGCTTCTTCTAACTTGCTTCTGCTAATTTCAGCTTGTTATGCTCCTTTCAGCTTATTTCTAAAAGTTTCAGCGTTTTCTACTATTTCAGCTCTTATATAGCTGTTTTTATACTAATTTTATCTTTTTTAGCTAATTTCACATTTTTTGCAGTAATTTTAACTTTTTCAGCCATTATCAGCCAAATTCTGCTTTCTCCACTTCTTGTAATTTAAGCTTCTTTCTGCCTTTTTAGTTACTTTTTAATTGTTTATTTTGTTGCTAATTTCAAATTTTTTCAGATAATTTCCACTTTTTTGTGCTAATTTTAGCTGCTTTCAGTCAAATTGGGCAAACGTGTTCTTTCTGTTTTCTTCTACTAATTTAAGCTTGTTCAAACTTTTTAGCTAACTTTTTAGCATTTTTAACAAATTTTGGCCGTTTTCAGATAAATTCAAGTTTTTTATGCTAATTTCTGCTCATTTCAGCCTAATTAGCTTCTTTATGCTATTTTCAGCTTGTTATGCACCTTTCAGCCTAATTATTCTAATTTCTGCTACTTCAGTTAGCTTTTAGCTATTTTTATACTAATCGTAGCTTTTCAGCTAATTCCACATTTTTTTAGCTCATTTCAGCTCTTTCATCTTTCTTCTGGTTATTTAAGCTTCTTTCTGTCTTTCAGCTACTTTTCAGCAATATTTGTGCTAATTTCAATGTTTTTTTAGCTAGTTTTTGACCTTTTGTGCTAATTTCTGCTGATTTAAACCTATTTCAGCAAGTATGTGTTCTTTCTGATTTCTTCTGCTAATTTAGGCTTGTTCTTCCATTTCAGCATGTTTTTAAGTTACTTTCAGCTGTTTTTCAGCATGTTCTTCAGCATTCACACTGTATTTTCGAAGGAAATGCAATTTCTCTAGTTTAATTTTGCTATGGGAGGCATTATTCATAGCTTTATTTTGCCTTCATTAATAAAATAATGGGATGTTTATAATAGCACATAGTGTGATGCCTCCTTTGTTTATTGTATTTCTGTGCAACGTGTCTGAAGCTCGTTTTCTGCCACAGTGTACCAGCTCCAGCAGGAGGCGCCTCACCCACGCAGAGTCACTTGCACCTGTGAGGTGAGAACACAGGCCGTCCAACCGTCTGCTGCTACCTGTTTACTCGTGTCTCATTTTCTGCTCGGAGATTCTTTGGCTCTGTCATCGTCACTTACAACATTTGGGCTGTTTATCCTTTGTTGCACTCAGACAAAATCTGTAATACGAGCAGATTAAAACAAATCACGTTTTCTAGACAGTTTGTAGTCGTTTTGTTCCTTTCGTTTGTTTCACCTTTATTTATTTAACCAGGCAGAAACACGAAAAACAAATTTTTATTTACAGTGCTGGCCTGACAAACACCAACAGGTCCTTGTAGGGTCAAGGGAAGGGAAACAATACAGTTAGGCAAAACTATAAAATATAGAAGTCTATAACAATTCAATTCAAAAATACTTTATTAATCCCAAAGGGAAATTATTTGTTGTTATAACTTGTTATCCTCATTTCATTAAGAGATGTTATAGATGTTGATGGCTGTAGACAGGAAGGATCTCTTGTAAAGGTCCATCCCACAGTGGATCCTAAAAAACTGGCTGCAGATGCCGTCCGATCCGTCCACCCAGACTCGGCTGGCCTTTCTGTTCGAGAAGGGGTTCTTTGGTCGATTCCCCCGGGCTGTAGGACTGCCCGAATGTCGGGCAGAACTCCTCCCAGAGCGATGGCCACTCCTCCCAGCAGTCTGCCGAGCTCCTCGTCGCTGCGGACAGCCAACTGTAGGTGCAGAGGGACGATCCTGTCCTTCCGCTGTCCTGAGCCGTGTTTCCTGCTAGTTCCAGGATCTCAGTGGTCAGGCACTCGAGCACAGCTGGCAGGTAGATGAGAATGCATCCACAGAACATCCTTTTCAACTCATTTGAGATATGGGGCTGTAGTTGAGATATTATTTGAGCTTTTGAGATGTTAATCAGCTGCTGTTGTTGTAGAAAACCGCCTTGTTGCCATGGTTACGCATCATAACAAATGTCCAAAACTAAAAAAAGTTTCAGTAAAAATCCTTCCAGCTGCACAGCATCTGATACCAGAGGAAACAACCATCCAAAAAAATTAGGGATGCATCGATCCACTTTTTTTTTTTTTTTTTTTTTCAGATCCGATACCTAAATCTGGATATCGGGCGATACCGATCCCGTTCCGATATCATCATCGTTATTATTAATTCCTACATGTGTCCAGTTTCACTACTTTTTGTCTGTCTAAACAGATCTCATTTGTAAATGAGTCTTCTAGGCTCAATGTGACTTATCTGTCTAAATAAAGGTTGAATGAATGAATGAATGAATGAAAAAATTTATTTTATGAGGCTGTAATAATCTCCTCTCAAGTCCATTTTGTACAAATATATGCATGTATGTCCAAAAAGGCAACTTGAGGTAAGTTTTATTAATGTTGGATAAGTTTTAAAGTTAGAATTAAATTCTGCTAACACAAAACATGTTTCTTTTTATCCCTAGCTTTAAAGTAGATATTAAAGTGATTAATTTAAGTGATTGTTTAAAGTTATTATTATTTTTTTTTAATAAGGGGCAGATAAGAATTTTTTTTTCTTCTTTCTGCACTCTTTTCATTCAATGTTTTCTTTTTGATGAATTTGTAGTTTATTTTGTTTCTTTTAATTGAATGAATAAATGAATAAAATAAAATAAAATGTTAAATGGCTTTAAACATCTGCCAAGTTCATGGCATAAACCAACACAGACATGTTCCTGTTTTTAGTATTTTACATCGCTTTATAATGTAGCTGTTTTTGTTTCGTTTTTTTTTTATATATATATATATATATATATATAAAATTTTCTTGTAATTTTCAATTCCTTTTTATGATTGTCTACTGTTGTACTGATAAATATCTCCTGGAGGGTAAACTATATCTTGGCTGCAAGTATCAAGCTGTGAAATCCTTAGTTTTCTACAACTGATAGCATTTGGTCATTAATTACGAAGAAGTTTAGCAACGTCTTCGTAAACATTTGAGCTCCGGGGCTTGAGCGATGTTTTCTTCTTGTTCAATCCGCAGCAAGCAGTTTGATTTCCGTCAGCCGCGCTCAGTCTGTCCCTCCTCAGAGACGGGCAGATTGGACGCGACTGGCCTGGGTCTTATTACTCTGGGTTCATGAGACACGCCTCCGTTCAGGAAATCCATTCCATAGTTTTAAGCCAACATGCATCATGGATTGGAAATATCGGCAGGTTGGATTGGAAAAATCCGACACGCAAATTATGCTGGTATCAGAGGCCGATACCGATACTGGATCGGATCGGCCCCATCCCTAAAAAAAAAGTGCTTTACATCCAGCAAAAGAGGAATTAAAGTTTCCAAAAGCAAAATCTCAGAATGAAAGTAACAAAGTAAAAAGTTGAAAGTAACAGCGGCGCAGTTCTAGAATTTCAACAACAAACAAAAACAAACAAGGGAATCAAAATTTACATTAACAACAGTTCATTGTCAAAGTTACACGATATCATTACTAAGCTTAAAAACATGTGCAAGTATCTTTAAACACGGCTTTTAAATGATTTTTAAAACTAGAAACTGAGACAATGGAGGTGAGTAACCCAACAACATCTTATACATGAGGGTAAACCAATGATATGTGTTGCATATGTTATAACATCTGAAGCAGCTGAACACTGTTATTGCTTTCTTACAAGAGACCCATGTGCGTGCTGTAGACAATGTAAGTTTTGGTTTAAAAAAAAAAAAAAAGGTCTAGTAAGGTGTTTCAATCTTATTTTCAATCCAAATCAAAGAGGGGTAGCATTTTGTTTGGCAGGCAGGTACAATTTACAGCCTCTAATATACCGTACTTGCCGCCATATAAGTCGCATCTATTATGCGTCACCGCTGACCACCCGGAAACGTGGGCCGGTGTTGTGCCCAAAATCGATTGGCTGCCAAATGTCGGCCGCAGGAGCGTTCACGGGAAGACTTCAACAAGAATTTAACAAGAGTAACACTTAAAAACAATTATTTGTTTGCTCGAAATTATTGCAAAGGTGTGTCTCAGTCTAACTTTTCCTTAATAAATGCACTTTAATGGTCAAATCAGCTGCATTTCGCCTGAGCGGCGCGGCGAAATGCAGCTGATTTGATGTTTGCTCCAGAAGTTTCGGAGCAAGACGATGGTGACTTACTATGGCAAGCCAAGTGTCTCATTAATAGCCACTTTTACCTATTAATGAGACACTTGGCTTGCCATATCAGTCGAGGGTCCTCTAGTGGCTGAAAATGGTATTGTGCAATATTTTTCATGTCAGAATAAATGAAATCGTCAAATCTCAGCCAAATATTGGATTATAAATATGGGGGGGGGGAAATATATATATAATAATTGCTTCAGTGTATAAGTTGCAGGACTTGCAAATTTATGCAAAAAGGTGCAACTTATACAGCGAAAAATACGGTACATAATAGCATTGCTGGGCGGTATGTTATAGTGGTGGAAAAGTTATACACACTCCCAGTGATTTTGGTTTCAGTATATGCACCAAACTGGCATGGTTTCATATATTTTTTAATAACTTCTTTTCAAACATACCAAATATTAGGGGTGCACCGATTTATCGGCCCCGATTTCCTTAATTTGAGGAAATCAGAAATCGGCCGATACGTGCATGTGAAACCGATTTTACCGATTTTTTTTTGTAGTTTTAACAACAATTGTCTAAACTTGATTTATATTTCAGAGCACTACCTCATGGCCATTTAAAACAAGTTTGTTATTGTTTCTAGGATATTGTTCAAGGTTATGTTTTTCAATAAAATAAGATTGGAATATTGAAGGTGCATTGTGACCTTATAAAACCAGACAGTGTCACTGATAAAATAAAATCGGTATTGGCCAAAATCGGAATCGGCAGGTCAGACTTTTTAGAAATCTGTGATCGGCCAGAAAACTGCTATCGGTGCACCCCTACCAAATATATCAATAATCTGTGCGCATTTTAGTCTGTGTGTGTTCAATATAAAATGATTCATTCCACAAAAAGAACTTGCAGTTTTGATTAAGATTAAATTTATGAGAGTAATTATTATGAGACTGATTCATTAAAATATTTCATTTTTTGACACCTATTCCCATACACCATTGAGGGCTTCACTGTTGTTCTGCCCCAGCTCATCCGTCCCATGTATTTCCAACTTGGAGCAGCCCTTGGTGGGAAGCCTGCTCCTCAAAGAGCTGAACCAGTAATTATAATAATAATAATAATGTGTATGTATTGTCATCGTATGATACAATGGCAAATTTGACTCTGTATTTAACCCATCCACCACCAGGTGGAGCAGTGGGCAGTTATGGAAAGCACCTAGGGAGCAGCTGGAGATAAGGTGTCCTGCTCAGAGACACCACGAGATGTGCAATGACCAGGGATCAAACCCGGGACCTACGGGTCCCGAGTCGGCTGCCCCTACAGTATACATTGCTCATTTCCCTCATACAAGCTGGGACAGCTGGTAAAAGCAGTTTGATTGGTGTGGAGGCTGTTGGGAGCCTCTTACCTTCATACAGGTCTTGTTCTGTCCCCGCTGTGTCCTGAGTTGCAGGCCAGGGGATGTTCAGCTTCGACGCTGCCCTTCTGCAGACATACAGGTCTATCCACTGGAGGTGCTGCCCAAGCACCGCTGGGTGGCCTTGAGTGTGGGGCTGGAAAAGTGGAGTCATCCTCCTCTTCCTCCATCTCGTCCATGTCGAGAAGATTAGAGTTAGTACACACACACACACACACACACATATATGTATATATATATATATATATATATATATATATATATATATATATATATACACAAAGAAATAATCTGTTTGAAGAGTTTCAGTCAGGGTTTAGAGCTCATCATAGCACAGAAACAGCACTAGTAAAAGTCACTAATGATATTCTCATGGCCTCAGACAATGGACTTGTGTCTATACTGGTCCTGTTAGACCTCAGTGCTGCATTTGATACAGTTGATCACAATATTTTACTACAAAGGCTTGAATATGATATTGGGATTACAGGAACAGCTCTAAAATGGTTTA